CCTGCAAGTACTATAATATCTGAACTAGTAGCATTGCGTAATAGCGCATTCAGTTCGTGATAGAAAGTGTCCTTGACTGCATTAGAACTGCAGTCGGTGGGAGCATAAACGGAAAGCACAAACAAACAGCGTTTTGCACTACTTCGCGAATTCACCTTAGCTGATGTCGTCAAACGGGCTGCAAATAAACGGCTGTTCACCGGAATCCAATCAACCAACGATGACTCAGCCTTGGAGCTGAGAATGATACCTACACCAGCTTGACCCGTGAGTGCCGCATCGGCGTCTCCGGATACGTGCAACCAATAACGATCGGATAAGCCGGGTGCAGTCAATTCAATAACCCCGTTAGGGTCATTAATCCTAGTTTCGGACACACAACACACATCAACACCCAGTGTGTCCAAGGTGCGTGCGGGGCATGCTGCTGTTGTCTTAGAGTACCGTCTGCAGCCACCATCCCACAGCACCTATCGGACGCCTATCGGCAAAAGTTCCTTATAAGGCCACGCTGTCCCGTTTCCATGGCGACATTCAACGTCCGCACTCTAAGACAAACAGGTCAGCGTGGCCTTATAAGGAACTTTTGCCGATAGGCGTCCGATAGGTGCTGTGGGATGGTGGCTGCAGACGGTACTACTCCAGTAGCACTTCGGTTGCTGTCAATTAAGCTGGGAATTGTAGAAGGTAGGTTAGTAATAGGGGCCGGGATGGGAGTAAGAGAAAAAGGTGGAAAAGCAAGAAGGGAGGCGCCAGCAGTAGCATGCTTTCGCTTATCCGCCCTGCTGTATGCAGCAGATAAGGCGACCCTTGATAATCTGCGCGACGGCCGATGCAGGATGAAGTTTATGTTTGAAGAAAATGTCATGGCGATACGTTTGACTATCTTTTGAACATGGTCCGCTTATCGACAAACCCATTTGAAAACGTAATTTTTAGATTTTATGAGATCTTCAAAAACGGTGTCATATGTGAAATCGCATGCACCGCGCCTGCTCCTCACAAAGATTTTCATCACCTGCTAGTTACTACAAAATCGTTCACTTTGCGTTCGTGGAAGATTACACCAAGGAATGATGGGGCAAAGTATCGGCCAACTGAACAAACTGTTTTGCGTGGAGACTTTTTACATGATGACCGAATTCAATCCGAAATACTGCGTGTCCTTGGACCTGAAATGCTGGACTACTGTCAAAAAATTGGCCACTCCCCCGGTACGCGACTAGACGGCCAACCGAACACAAATTTTCGATTTAACAGCACGACCTAAGTGTCCGGATGGTTCTCCGCAAGTTTTACGTGTTCTCGGGGGGTATGAGTTCGGCTAGTGCAGCGGCTGCTGGCCTTATTACTTCACCGCTACGCACTGCTCACATCAAAACTGCCGCATCCTCAGCGGCCGCTGCAGTCTCCACTACCGGGTCGGAGCCTAAACCACGTTCGCCACCACCACCGCCTTCCCTGGTGAAGATAGAGGTTTTTGTGGATGGGAAGCCAGTTATGTGTGACCCAAGAATGACTGTGCTGCAAGCCTGTGCGGTCGCTGGTGTGCAGATTCCCAGGTTTTGCTATCATGAACGTCTTTCCATCGCTGGAAATTGTCGAATGTGCCTTGTTGAGATTGAGAAATCTCTTAAGCCGGTTGCAAGCTGTGCCATGCGTGTGCTACGTGGTATGAGCATCAAGACAGACTCTCCAGCAACAAGGAAGGCTCGCGAAGGTGTTATGGAATTTCTTTTGGTTAATCACCCCTTGGACTGCCCCATCTGCGATCAAGACGGCGAGTGCGATTTGCAGGATCAGTCGATGAACTTCGGCTCTGACAGATCGCGTTTTGTTGACGTGATGTTTACCGGAAAACGAGCTGTTGAAGACAAAAACCTTGGTCCACTGATCAAGACCATAATGAATCGATGCATCCATTGCACTCGTTGCGTATGCTTTGCGAACGAGGTTGCTGGTGTTCCCGGACTCGGAACAACTGGCCGGGGGAACGAATTGCAAATTAGTACCTACATCGATCGACCCTTTCTCAGCGAGGTTTCTGGTAAGGTTATCGATCTTTGTCCAGTGGGCGCGCTTACTTCAAAGCCTTATTCATTCACCGCCAGACCTTGGGAAACACGCCGTATCGAGTCCATCGATGTGATGGATGCCTTGGGTACTAACACTATAATTTCGATGCGCACAAACGAGGTTCTCCGAATTATTCCTCGTTTGAACGAGCATATAAACGAAGAATGGTTGGCTGACAAAGGGCGCTTCTCTTACGACGGTCTACATCGTCAGCGCTTAGTCGTACCCATGGTGCGTGAGTCTAGCGTAAAGCTTCGGAAGACTACTTGGGAAGACGCTTTAGTTGCAGTCGGTGAACGCATGCTCGCTCGTGTATGTTTTGTCAGTCGATTAAACAGTGTAAAGTCCATACGTGTATTACTACGCTGGAGTTACAGATCCTATAGGGCATAAGCTCTCAAACGTTTAGTTAAGAGACCAAGACGTATCCTTTGGCGACGGAGATCACAATGTCTATTGTGAATGCACCCGCGCATTCATGGTCATGCTCTGCGAAAATCTGTCTATGACCAGTTGGAACATGTACTGAAAAACAATTTATGAGTAGCTAATGTTACTTCCATTCATGAATCCTTTAGTGTCTTTTACCGAGCATTTCTTTGGTGACGAAGGCCGGATACACCTGGACGCCCTCGGTATTGACGACATGTGTGCAACCACACCCAGCGCCTCGAATGCGTTCAAGACTCTCTTGAGTATTCAACAAAACGTTTATACCGCCAGGTGCTTTTTTCCATATTGCCAGAACTTTTAGGAAGATCAGAACAAGTTTGTCCCTCTTATACACCAAGCCACTCCTGATTTCAGACCAATGAAAGTTGATCCGACGAAATTGAATGGAAGAATGCTACTTCAGTGCCTATTAGCTGGCATATAAGCCCAGAATACCCTGGAAAACTCCTTTCAAAGGATGACCACTTAATTGGTGGACGATTTTGTCACTTGCCCGTGAAACAACGAGTCTGACACAACAACTGTCCGCATTCACTTTACAAGCTCCATCCGGAAGTACACAGTTTTGGAAAAGGACGATATAGCTTTTAAAAAATGACGTCCTTAAACGTAAAGTTTTTTATGCCTCCGATGTGGGGATCAGCGCGAATGTGTATTTGGATATCGAGACCAAAAGATAGTGTGTCGAAGTTGTGGAATGGCGGATCATTTGGCGCGAGTATGCAGGCCATTTTAGCTTTAACCGGATTTACACTAACCACGAACGTAATCAATCAAAGAGGTAGGTTGTTATGAAGATAATGAATCGGTTACACTCCATTTGGTTGAATACCATGCCCAGCCTACGTTTAGCGCCATGCATTATGTAGCTCTGCGTTTAAGGACAGGAGGTACAGCATAATACTGCAGCCTCCGTTACAAGAACAGGAGCTATGTGCATTACTTACCGCTCTTGCCACTATGTATTTCCAATGTTCAGACGTACGCAGGTGAACCTAAACTGTGTTCTTAATAACTGCCTGGTGCAGGCGCAATATTGCGCTGAGATGCAGAAGATTCCTGTGTATGTACTATGGAAGGATCGACTAAACGTACTCGGGATGGACTGGATAGGCGCATTCCCTAGCACATTAGATGCTCTTAAAACGGTTACTAAAGTCGTTGGACTAGAAGACATTTTGAAACCGCAATAAGAACTCTTTGCGGAGAAGCTGGGAAAGCTGAATGAGTTTCAAGCCGCAGTACCATTGACGGAATTTGCCCCGCCCAAATTCAGAACACGAACACTATCATATGCCGTAAGGCAACAGTCGAATTTTTCTACTTCAGCAAACTGTGTTGAAAGTATTGCTGAGAAAATATTTTCATTAGATGCAGCCGGTCATACCGAGACAAAAAGTGTATACTCAGCGACATGGGACAAAAGAATACGGCGAAAAGCTAAGAGCAACCTGGAGCACAAGATGATGCGACCATCGAGTGTGCAATCATATTGAGCCGTTAAGTATTAATTTCACAAAGGAAAACATATCCAGCTTGCCCTATATTTGTGCCCGTCCGTCAGCTTGGTAATATAGTAGCCTTCGTCTTCAAATACTTCCATTGAAGTTTATTAGCACATCAGATGTGCAGCCTCCGTTTCTAGATTCGCCCATCACTGTAGCCTCCATAGGACAGGAACAGGACGTTGGCCTCTACTGACCGACCATGCGTGGCTTGTGCTGCATCACTCACGCGCCACATATCCAGTGTAAACCTGATGGAATAAGAACGCGAAGTACACAGGTAGGAGCCACATTTCATCAACGGCGTCGGCCCACACTTCTTTAACATGCAATGAGGGTGTCACCCCTACTGGTGGTGAAGCGACTGCAACCAAACTGTCAATCTCAGCGAACAGTTCGACAACCATCAGAACAACCTGAGCTACCAATTTTCACTATTATTTCACGCAGTTCATTAATTTGAAGCTGCATACCAAACCTACTCGGGGAGATAGTTGGGTCGTACCTCATTCTCCACTGATTGAGCCTAGCATCGTACACCCTTTCTCTCCAAGCAATGACCAACGGTCTCCTGGGGCCAGTATAATAGAGGTGGCGATTTTCGACAGGTAGGCACCTTACTCATTCACACCAAGCGCAGATAGGTAAGGAGTTGAATTACAAAAAACACCTGGCATGCAAAGAAAGAGACAAACAGGCACACGGACAGACCAACCGCAGTGATAATGTAGCACATTTGCCACGTCGACTACACTGTAAGACTGGGTTAGTAAATGGAATTGTAAGCAGCATAGTTGCCAAGCGTCGCATTGATTCCTACCTATACAACTTACTAGTCGCCACATCGATGTTGGACCCGCGTGATGGAGCTGGTGACTTGCCATACCGGCTTGGTTGAGGCACATACGGCCAGATGTGCTACAGTATTATGTGCTTGACGTCAAGGAACTAGGCTCCATTAGCGTCTGTCGCTTCCCCAACCCGTGTTTCTCATCCTGATACAATAGTCACTTCTGGTGCGCCTGAGCAACTGCATTCTTGATGTGCTCACGCCACTGGCGGCGATTCACTGTCATGTCTTCTAAAAGACAAAATCTGCTGAGGTCAAAATTACCTCGTGATAGACTTCCATTGATCATATCCTGACAATGTAACTGTGGTTTGCCTCCGAATATATTCCCTGTACCAACTTGGCCATATAGCATGAGTTTCAGTATTCTAGTCAAATCCATATACCTGACATGTCCCACTTACTTCAGATGTTGCAACAGAAACATGCAGTCCACTACTTAGATGCAACGTTGGCGTAGGCCTTCCGTATCAGGAACTCTTACATCATTCGATGCTCAGAATCAGACGCAGATATTGTTGATGAAAGCGCTCCCAATATATGAAGTCTTTCTTGTATAGGGTCTATGTTTCTGTGCAGCAAAGAAGAACCGACAGTACTCTCGACTTGTAAAATGTCAGCCTGGTCTCAACTGTAATAACCTAATACTTCAACACCCGATGCTCAAGCTTGCCAACGGCAGTACTTACCTTCAATACCGGATGCTCAGCTTCCTAGTTTATCTGCAGATTCATGAACGGTATAATCCCGATGTAGCAAAATTTCTCTAATATTTCGCAACATATGGTTGGCGGCATCCGGTTTCGGATTTGCCTGTCACTGTGGCCAGCCACAGGACGCCTGCGCCTACAGGGGGACCATAGGTTGCTTACGCTGCACCACCCACAGCTCCATGCACACACCCCGCATGCAGTGTAAACCCAAAGGAATAAGACTGAGAGGCATGTGGATAGGAGCCACGTTTCATCAATGGAGCCGACCCACACTCATTCACACGCAAACACAAGCACACTGTATTTGGGAAATCAAGCGCACACAAGGCGGTGGCTGGACCGTAGTCCGCTCCACACTGAGTGCATGGAACCACTCTTCGAGCCTAACATAACCACAAGGACTGTGCACCCCGTGCCCTCTAGCAAAGGCTAACTGTCTCCTTGAGCCAGTATGGACGAGGTAGTGGGTAATAGACAGGTAGTCACCTTGTCAACATGCACATCAAGCGCAACCACACCGGGGATGTCAAGCAACATCCATTCATATGAAAGGACGATATCAAATAAACTAAATCCAATAATGCATACAGGTACGGTGACAGAACTCTTCACTAATTGAGCGTATGAAAGAAATTGGCTGAAAAAACTCCACAAAAGGTTCAATACGTCGGAAAATTTATCCTTAGAAAATGCCACAACCACGAAAATGTTACCGAAGTTAACTACGATTAGCTTAAGCGACGTGTGCACGTTTATAAAAGAAAGTTGAAGTAGCTATTAATATGAGGTAAAAATGGCATTCAAGCAATATAGCAAACCCATCACCTAAAATAAAGAGACTCGGCATGCAAGCACGTGGGTAGTAAATCGAATGCATCGTACCTACAAACGCTGCGCTGGCTCTGCCTACGCTCTGTTCAGGTCCCGTCTTCCCTTCGGTGGTGGTCTTGAGTGGCCTCGCTCATGGCTCACTAGGTCTGTCTGACTCAGGCACTCGCGACCGCATTTGCTACGGCACCATACGATCGATGGAGTAACACCCAACGGCGCCTGGCGCTTCCGAAATTGCCGCTTCTCTGCATGCACGAGGGATTTCTCTTACACCTCGGCATTGTCCTACGTGATTCGATCGCGCCATGCACGCCGATCAACCGCCTTCGATTCCCATGACCTGCAATCAAGAATAGAGTGTGAGAGGCTCACTTTGATCATGTCCTGGTAACGTAACTTTGGTTTCCCACCTGCCGCTTCCCAATACTCAGCTGACCATACAATAGTTGCTTCGGCATCCGCGTCGAATCCACACGGCTCACATGACCAATCCACCTCAGATGTCTCAGCAACAGTATGCAGTCCACTGCATGCGTTCCACTTCCGCGCAACACTTCGTGCCCGCAATTATGTCGCATCAACCGATGCGCAGAATCCGTCGCAAATTTTGTTGATGGAACCGCTCGAGATTTCACACATCCCGCCGGTACATCGTCCACGTTTTATTGCCGTATAGAAGAACGGATGGCACGATGGATTTGTACACCATCAGCTTCATGCCAACGGTAAGCTAATGGTTGTTCCACACTCGGTACTCTAGCTTTCCGAATGTCACCGCTGCTTAGAGACGCGAATACGAAGCTCACTGTGTATCTGCTGGTCAGTCGACATCACAATCCCAAGGTAGCAGAAGCGGGAACTGGTTTCTAATACTACAACACCAATGCTGATTCGCGGCAATATTGAAGATTGCACCTTCGGTGAAGGCTGAAAGAGATAGACAGTTTTGCTTGTGTTGATGGTGAGCCCGAATTTGGCCGCT